GTATGGAAAAGCCTGAACACCCTGAAATAAAAATGAGAAAGATTTAGAAGGTAAGAAACTAGCTACTAGTAAACTAGTTGAATACACAATTGCTGATTACAACTTAAATAACAAAAATTCCCATAAAAGTTATGTTGAAACATAAAATTGTTCTTCTATCAACATCATGCAATTAAATGTATTTTAAATATTACAAATAATACAAAATGGTAAAATGAACTTTTACATGAATGTCACCACATAAGCATACACAAGAAACTGGGTGCCTTCAGAATACTGAACTTAAGTTCAAGCCCTTTAAATAAGAAATAAAATAATAAATAAATCAATGAACTTATATAAATTTCCATGATGTTTTATTTTTATATAACTAGTTTAAACTAGGAAACAAAATATTTCAGTGAACTTGAATGAATTTAAACTGTTTAAACTGTCTTCCTGCTAGCATGTTTTTTTTGGCCAACCAGTAAACATTACAGCATGAATTATTGCGTCTTTCGGCATTTTGTACGACTCAACGTATGCACATTTTATATAACTGGATAGTTTTGGGGCGATGACAGTAGCTCTATGATCCGAACCAGATTGGTGTTTTGTGCACTGCAGTTGTCTCGCTTGGGAACGGTTGCATCTTTCCTCAATCTGAATATATTTTGCATTTTGGCAGCCAAGCACTTCGTATAATAAAACACGTTCTTTTCTCCATCATGCTGTTGCCAGGGAAAATCAGTAAATCATTCAGATTATTCTTGTATATTCGAGAAGTTTGGCGACGTGGCGTCAATGTCTCTTTGCTTTTAGGGTTTGGTTGCATTTGCTGTCTAAAGACAACGCATTTTTTCAGAGATCAATTCTGTCTGACTCAAACTACTGTCAATTCAGTGATTGGGGCTCTTCATGCACTCTCTTAGTAGACTGTTTTACAAAAGAAAGCAGCGTTCGTGTTTTCATGGGCCGAATGTCACCCATTGCTGTAATGACGCAGAAGAAATGAAAATGGCACTCTAGCTTACCATTTGTAAATCAGTGCATGCGCAGTGATGCAAATCCCTTATAATGCTTTTAGTAATCGGTGTGAACTCTTTTGCAGATCTTACATTGTTGGAATTCCACTTGAAAATCAAGAAACATTCCCAGTCCAATTCTTCTATTCTTGCACCACCCTATGCTAAAAAATTGGACTCAGTAAACAATCATTTGGTTCTTTGAAGAAATATCTGAAAAATAACATCAAAATATTTATATAATTTTGTTTTATTAAATCTTTATTGCAGTGAAAAAGTAAAAAAGCTCATACTATAATACCGTACATCTTGTATTTGAAAAAAATAAATAAAATAAAATGTCATATACATATAAATTGAATACACTAAAGTAGCTATGGCCTGTGCATAAGTTTACGGTACAAAGCATATACAATGTAGCTTGGAACACAAATGTGTGTAAAATGATAAAAGCACTACAACGATTCTATTTTAACTTTTAATTTAGTATACAAGTAAATTAAAATAAATTTTAACTTTTAATTTAGTGTACATGTAAAAAAAATACATGTAAATTGAAAAAAAATCATGTTTCACCTAAGAGCGTCAAATGTAGAAACATTGCAGGATACAAACATACTACTTGTACTACCGGCTGGCCTAGGAATAAACAAAATGCATTATCATATGCATTGCAAGACAAAGATCATTAATACTTGTGCATTATGTTGAAAACTAAGCTGTGAACAATACATCACCATGTTAGCACAATTAAATGTATGGAACAATGTAATTTTAACATAATTTGAAGCAAAATATTGACTTTGTTGTTGCATGGTCGAATCTGTTATTTTATGTCAGTAACAACATAGCCTTCAAAGAACACTCTTCTGAAGAATAAAGTACATACATCTAGACTTGTTAGGATGATATCAAAGTCTAAGCCATATTCATAGCATACATGTTTCTCACTAATAAAACTACAAATAACAACCAATTTGTCATTTGGTATTGTACACACAAAAGTACATTATATCATTATTCTTTTTATTTCTACATTTTTTGGTATATCACTTTACAAAGATGATGAAATTAATTAAAAATAGGGGGACACCGTACTAAGTTTGGAAAAAATAGATCAATAAAATATGTGAAAATAGCATCCACTAAAATTTAAATTTTGAAATGTTGTCACTGCTAAATGTGTTAAAATATGTGCACATGTGAAAAACTTACAAGTAGCATTATACCTTAATTTGTTTAAAATTTATATTTATAAAGTATTAATAAAATTCATGCCTTGGTGAATTATTAAATATATCTAATCTATATTTGCCTTTACATGTAGCCTGAACGTGTGATTCACTGTCATTTTGTCCAAACTAAAGTACACAAAATGTATTCCTATGTTTTCACGTACATTTTTATTGCACAATTTTGTTTTATCATTAGAATCAGATCCCTGTGTGTGGATTGTTGGTAGTGGTCAGAAGAAGACAAAAACCAGTAGTTTGAGGACAAGATCAGCATCTCCAGTAAGCCGTCATAGTAGTAGTAGTGGAAGTACTGGTAGTATCAGTAGGGGACCTAGTAGAACAAACAGTGGTAAACCACCAACACCAAAAACTGCATCGGGTAATGCCAGATTAAAGAAAAAAAGTTTGAACAATGATATAGAAGATACCCATGTAGCGCAGCAGACACATATGAAACAAAACTCTGATTTTGACGTTGTGGAAACTGTGACTCGTACCGCTGCAGAGGTCCCTGATGATCATAGAACTATACATTCTGTGAAAACTGAATTGTCAGATATCAAAGAAAAGCTAGCTACTCGTGACAGTCAGGGGCTTATGGCTCCAGATATGTTTGACAAACTAGCTGATCAGATTGCAAATCGAGTAAAAGCCGAACTGGAACATGAAAGGGAGCAGGAATTATATACAAGACCAACACGGACAGTGGCTGCAGTGGAAGATGATGTTATGGCAAGTCACAGATGTGAGAAGTGTAAACAATTAATGGTTAGTTACCAGCATTTCTTTGCTTCATGCTTTGCTTTGCGGACCATTAATTCTTATTTCCAGTTTCTGCCTGTGACGTCTCTAACATTTTCTCAGAAATTCTGCAGGAGATATCGATGGAACTTGGCAGGGTGATGAACAAGTCTCTGCTGACTACAAATGTATGCACGTAATTCGGAAAATCCTAAGTGGCTCTTTTTCATGATTTTCATCCAAAACTACTTCTCCCAACACCACTGAGAGAACAACTGAGCATGCTCAGAATAAATAATTAGCTTAGATTGTAATGTTTGGGTTTTTAGTGATGTCATGACCTGGTCATGACCTTGATCAGTTGACCCTTACCAATCTCAGTGGAAACTGTAGAGGGGTGTCAGGGCTACATATTGATGGGAATTATAGTGGTGATACTGATACAAACCCAGGTCCTGATAATATACAAAGACCAGAATTAACAAAGAAGTCAAGTTGCTATTAAAGGTACATTAAGGTTTACTCAGATTTATGAATGCAGTTTCTTGAGCATGTATACATGTATGTATGAGACATACCGTAGTTTGGTTGGCACATGTGTACTCTGAGATTTTGGACCCGGGTCAATGAAAGTTTTCAGTTATCAGATTGAGGGAAATCACTTTATGATGAGTTGTACCCACATAAAGTACATATTAATTCAATTGTTTGCAGATGTTCCATGTTTTATTTTAACATGAGTATTGAGGTATGTAAGGGTGCCTCTAAAAAGTAGTTGTGCGTGCAAAAGGTGAGGTGCATTTTTGTCTATATGGCAGTTATGCGTACACGTAAATCAGACTTACGGGTGACATTTAAATACAGTTCAGATCAACTGAAATGTACTATTACATGTAGCACTGTATTGTGGAGAGATGAGTACTATGTGGCAAAAGGCAAAAATATGTATTTAAAAACAAATCAACATCAGACTTTCACAAGCCGAAACGTAACTATACTCCTCAACTATAGGCGATGAGTGTTTATGAGGTGTGAAAGAACGGCGTCTTCAGAAAATAATTAGGGCGACTCCCGAGAAACAAAGCGAAGCAGCACAGATTGGGTGGTCGATAGTATTGTCAGAAAAA